TTTTTCATCAGACCATCACTACTGGCACACTACTTTACCCATAAGTCACTACTTTTGGATACTATTTTGTTTAACATCTCTTCATTTCTTTATGCTCCGAGATCAATTTCACCCACATACCTTTCACTTATTTCCTGTATATATGTATACATAAAAAAGGGCGACTTTTAAAGATTAGAGACCAAAGTAAGACCAAGATATTCAAACTACTTTATAATGTTAAGCTCCTCCCCTTGTAGGAAGACGTTAAAATGCACCACATGACCACGCGTCAGTGCCTATATAAGAATTAAAGATGCTTCTTGGAATTAATGATACTGAATTAATCATACTGCCCACTTCATGTTGTGGTCTTCTTCTGTTAATACTTTAGTAATGTTAGTCATGTCAAACGATGTGATTTTTGTACTTATTAAGGTTGTTTTTTTCCAGAAAATATTAAAAAATATTAGTTTTTAGGTACAAATCTGCAATTTATTCTGTTCATTTTGTCAGATTTCTTTTAACTTCCATTTCTCAAACAACCTTAAGTTATCTAAGCAAATTTGCTGTAGCCTTTTGTATGGTCTGTATTACTTTGTTCATTATAAAGACTATTTTTGGTCACTATGTAAGACCAAATTTCAGTGATTTTCTAAGCAGCCTGTCCGTATTTTTCATCAGTTTCCCATATTAACTATGCAGCCAGAGCAGGGTATTCACTTTCCTTTTGAGTCCTCGCACTACTGAACGATGCAATCACATTATTTTTTTAAGCGTTCATATATCACATTCACTATCTGTGTCTTCATCTGTGGAGATTTCACTCCAATCAGTCCCTTTTATTTTGCTGCTGGCTCTTTGGGACTGCTTCATAATTAAATGTGGCTCTGAGCGATCTTTTGGTTTAAATGAATTTTTAAAAAGTTGTTTTGGAAACTTTCATGAGAAAAAGATAGCATTACTGTCTGACACCTCAGTCAAACGACAGCTGTTTTAACATGCTTTTATCTTCCTCATTCAATGGTTAGGTCATTCATTTAACTAATACTTAAACTGCTAGCTGTACTTGAACCAAAAATATTTACAACTTTTTCTATCTATTATTATTTTTAAGATGATGCCCATGGTATAAAATCAAGTGTACTTTGCATTAGTAGGTATTCTGCTTAGTTGCCTTAAGACACACAGTGCCCAGAAACTCTAGTTAAATGAAAATCTTTTAATAGCAGCCTGGGTCAATAGCTGCCACACCATGTCCTTCATGGTTCAACTGGACTGAGCTTCAAGTGAAAAACCTTTTTTAGTTAGCATGTGTGTAAAATAACCCAATGATTAACAATTAAAAACTAATGGATCCTTAAGATTCTCTCTGGCCCTCGAAGAAAACAAACAAGACACAGAATGAGAACAGGAAGAACAGCAGGAATATTCTCCACGGGACTGAAACACAATAATAACACACAATTTCCCCTCAGGTTAATAAAGTATTCTGATTCTGATGACAGCCCTGCGACAGACTGGTGACCTGTCCAGGGTGTACCCTGCCTCTCGCCCTATGACAGCTGGGATAGGCTCCAGCGCCCCCCGCGACCCTGAAAAGGATAAGCGGAAGCGAATGGATGGATGGATGGATTCTGATTAGGGATGGATGGATTCTGATGACATTAGCGAAAACATAAGAGGCTGCGTTGTCACTGCTCATGCCACTCAGTGCAGGGCTCACAAAATTGCTAGCCCGACGTCCCGGGGCTAGCGATTTTTCCAGTCGGGCTACCAAAATCCATCTCAGCCCTGCCCATCGGGCTATCATAGGAAGGAAAGATATGTCAATGCTTTTGCATTCTTTCGCAAATGTAGCTGAGTCATTATGTCATCGATGAGCCACTGTCAATATGTGACACATTGAAATCGCGTTTGAGTTTGCGCTTGTTTTTTGCTTTCACTTTCACTTTGCGATCGCGCGAACTGTGTGTAGAGAGCGGCAGCACTGATTGGTGAGTCACAGATTAATTGCGCACCAATTCCTCTGGCATCGTCTTATCAATCGTTAGCTTACTATCAAACATGACAAGTGAAATCTCCTGAAGCAAGCTTAAACATGTGATAGATGTTGATTGCGCAGAGAATTGCTGATCGTTATGTAAGTATGTGTAAAAGCAGATGGATTTACGCAGGTATTTTAGTTCTGCAGAGCCAAACAAGACAGGTCAGGGTGAAGAAGGGGCAGCCAAAGAAAAGCCTACCACAAATCGGAGAAGTTATGACAAATCAGACTATGAGGCAAAAGGAAAGCGCAGCTTTTTTGGTTTCATGGACAAAAGAATTTATGTGGCTGGAATATGATGAGCTAAATAACATAATGTTCTGCCGGGTGTGTTGTGAGTTTCCCTCGATTTCTGAGTCGACAAGCGCCTTTGTTACTGGGACCAGTCATTTTAAGAAAGACCCCATCAGAACCCATGAGAAATGTAAGAAATGCATCATTGCTCAGTCTGCAGTATCTTTCCCAGAACAAACACCAATTGCAAAAAACATACTAAAAACAAACCAAGCATAGCAAGAAGTCCTGAAAAAGCTGTTTAGAACAGCGTACTATGTTGCAAAGAGTGAACTACCACTGGCAAAATTTAGCAGTCTTTGCAAACTTCAAAAAGCAAATGGCCTAGATCTTGGTTCCACTTGCTTCTTACTGAACACTGATTCATGTTCTACACAGTTCTTGCAAGTTCATACAAAATTTCTGTTCAATTAGAACCAAGTATTTGAGTTGATAATTGTAATTTGTTGTTGTAATTTGTGTTTTAAATATTTTTAGATTGATGTTTTGTTTCCTTTACAATATTATACATTAAAATATTGTAAAGGAAACAAAACATTAATCAAAAAATTGTCCTCTTTTTTTTTTTTTTATTCAGGCTACTTAAATTTATTTTGGGCTACCAAAAACTGAAGAGTGCCTGCCCGAAGGGCTACCAGGGATTTTGAAATTTTGCGAGCCCTGCAGTGATATAGGTGGACAATGTTGATGTTATAGGAAAAAACGACAGGAGATTCTAAACTGCACGTGTGCAGCAAGCCTTTGTTGGGTTGAACTGTACATAAAACAGTATCGTTTATCAAAAGACAAACGCCTTTATTCGGTTCTCTTTGGTCCCTTCTTCTTGTCTCATTCAGGGATTTGTTTATTTTGAATAAATGTTATCGGCTGGATCTCTTCACCCAGTGGCAAACCATAAACCTAACAGTGATCTGAGCAGTCTGAAAATAAGTTTGTTGAGACGACAGCGGTAAGATAAATGACCGAGATAAGTGAGCGCTGCAGTCACAGCTAGATATAATCAACTGTTTCTTGTCATCAGCTGCATGGTTTATATGCTGATGAGGAAAAAAATGTATCCAGTTTTCACCAAAGACATTTGTACTACGATAAATTTGAGCCAACCTAAAGACTTTTCATAGTTATAACAACGTTGTTACCACCAAAGGCAAGCCAGCAAGAAACCTATTACAATGATTATATAATTAGGCTTTTACACAACTAACAAGCAATATTTTGATAAGTACTTTGATAAATGCTTCTTTAAAGTGTTTAAAGTGGTTTTGATAAATATAATTTGGCGTTAATTAGTTCCAATTAAAATGGCAGCAGAGGTAACGAACTCTGGATCCTGAATTACTGCACGGCTATTAAACGTGGCAGACAGAAACATGGCACTTTCTGCTTGAAGGAGAGAAAGCAATGCTCGCCTACCTTTCTTTCACTTATCAGGGGACTTTGGCTGAGTAACACTGATTATCCTCCCTGTTTGCTGGCGTAACATTGATTATCGTCCCCTTGTGCCAGGAGTCCCTCTGAGAGGATCATTGCTCTTAATCCTTTGACCTAACTACCTCTCCTCAACACACCTTGGATTAGGTCCTCTGGTGGTTGCCTGGCACTCTGGGAAATAGGGTAAACAATTAAGAGATTAAGTGGCTTGGGCTAAATGTTGGTCTACCCCTACTAAGAGGACCCATTCTGGTCCATAATGCTGAGGTCTGGGCTCACACCCAAAGCCTTTTTTTGTTTTGGTTCCAATGGCAGGCTTATATGCTCACTGTCGTTAAGATGGGCTTTCCATTCTTTTCTCTCTTTGCAATATTTTTTTGTCGCATTTGCACAAGAATATTCAGAGGAGCACGGTATTCAATCACGGAAATGCTGATTCCTCACTGAACAAAGGCCTTCTGAGCTACTGATCCACTGCACAGTGCAGTAATTTTTGGATTATAAAAACAAGGCCACATTTATTCAGAGGCACGGCATCAGAGGAGTTTGGCAAGGAGGTGATGACAAAGCGAGACTGCAGGATGACTCACAGTCTACGCTGGCAATCTGTGCCATCTAGATCTGAAGCATATTAAATTCTCCGCAGTGGTCATCTAAAGTAAAACTGGTGCCAGGTTTGTTTGAGGCTCATTAGGCTGGCCCATACGGATTACTCATGGACAATCAGGTCGCTGCAGTTGTTTGATACAACAGATAACAGTGCGTAACAAAAAAAGAACACATTTTAGTGACAATCTTGGCCTGAATACGCTACTTATAAATCCACTCAGCTTTAAGAAGAAAAAGGCTTACACAGGGGCAGACACAGACAATGGCATTAGTGCTGGATGCTCATTAAGATAACAGGCTATCAATGTGTGTCAGCCTGACTGACAATAAGATATGCTGAAGCTGCAGGCGTCATTCCTTAGAGTCCGAAGGTAAGTGCTTGACACCACCAGTCGCTCACAAAGACAGGAAGATGGGCAGATAGAGAGATGGCCTGCCCACAAAACAGGTACAAAACTGACAGGTAAAGTCACCTCAACGCATTTATTGACTGAGCGAGGATTATCTCCGAGACAGGCTTTTAGGCTGCTGTAGGACAGAAATGTGAATAAGGTGAAGCAGAAAAAGAGTGACACACACACACGAAGACCTGCTGACACGCGCGCACAGAGTGCACGTGTTCACCTGCCACATTTCTCACCTCGTAAGGGCGACTTCATGGCGGCTTCTACCATGCCCACCAGTAGCTGTAGGCTCTTGGGGTCTTGGGCCAGCCCTGAGGCGAAGGCGGCCAGCGCGTCGGCATGGCGTCCAAGGTACTGAAGGGCAACACCCTGTCGGAAGTATGCCTGCAGAGAGAAGGAGGTAAAAGAGCTATCAGTGCTCAAGTCTTCTGCCACAGCATGGGGCTTTATTCAAACACATTACCAGACACACTCATTTCACGCCATTAGCATTTTTTCCACATGAGCAGTTTTCTGAACATGGCACCTCTCTCCTTTGTATTCCCATAATAGAGTGATCACTGGCTTTTTTTGTACTTGTTAATTGGATTATAAGTTTTACATAAATGCACATGTTACACTCTGGCTGGCTGCCTTCTCAGGAGCAACGATTGTTTTTCTATTCAATATTTCTTTTGCTCTCTGTCTCCTTGCTGTGGGAGTAAACTGCACAAGTCGAGCGCTGGGATTTCTCTGGCTGTTAGAAAAAAAAAGTGATGGGAAAGAGAGAGGGGAATGAGACAGAACTACTTACTCAAGTCTGCCTGTAGTTTAGAAAATAACACCCATAAATACTTCAGATTACTTATTCTCTTTGACAGTACACACTTGTAAAAGAGTAACCCAACTGCCCAGTCTGTTTTTGCTATACTTTTTTTTTTTTTTTTTAAACTTCAGATATGTATTTGCGTAATGTTTTGGACACATGGAAGAGCCTTCAAAGAGACAGAACTCAAACAGATTTGTCATCCAGTCATTTATTCACAGAGCTGGGAAAGTCACATTGTTGGAAGCATAATAAATCAGTACCATGAGGCAGATACTGCATGCAACTTGTAACATATTGTATCTTTCTGTTAGAGACTAATTTTTTTTTTTTTTTGGAACATTGTGCACACTGAAACCTAAAACAGACGCTGTCTCTGCGATCCAAAGCCCCAACAATAAGTGTGCTTTCCCCCCCGCATGTCTGTTTGGAATCACTAGCTGCAGAGAGATCTTTCATCCAGGCAAGTAACTCAGTATGTTTGTGTCTAAGGCCCGATCAGACAGAAATCCTACTGAGTTGTTAAGCCTGACTCTGGTCCAGTCTTACAACACCAGCAAAGAGAGATGAAACTACGTTGCGCTCATTATTCACAATGCAAACTGATAAATCCCCTTCAGGAGAAAGCAAAGTGTCTCCCAGAATAGTCATATATGGGCTCGTGTCGCACATTTACAGCTACAAAGCAATAAGAGATAAGAGTCCCAAAGTCTCCCTTACGCTGGTGTGTTTTTTGTGCGCTGGCTCGTGTGTGAGGGGTAGCAGCAGCGGTCCAGGCTACCATCTGGCTAACTTCTTGCTCAGTAGGCAGCAACTCCACTCATAGCTTCCAAAAGTGACACAAGGGCTAATTTGCCATTAGCATCTAAGAGGCCTTTTCATTAGCCTTCCCAAGCTTCTCTGTTAGCACGACTAGCAAGTGAGAAAAGCAGAGAGGATTAGGGAAAATGAGACATGACATCGAATTTACAGAGACCAGTAATTAATTTCGCTTCCGTCCGAGACCCCCCACTGACTACCAATCTCTCTCCAGACCTGCTGCCCCCCACTTCAACATTTCCGCCGCCCCTCACTTGCATCACATCTCCAATGAAAATGACGACGACAGAGATTAAATTCAAAGCATTAACCTTTGTTCTAACACTGTTATTATATGAGTGGAGCACGGTTCAGGGAATCCGCTCAATATTAATTGCATCTAGCAGCAGTGGAGTTTGGGCAGGATGCACTGGCTAGAATTGAGAGACCCCACAAACGTTTTGCCCAAGGGAACAAAAGACATTTAAAAGCACTTCTCCCTTTGATTAGATTTAGCCTACAATATGACTGCTCTCCCTTTCATTCTCTTAAGCGCCGTACCCTGACCGAGACGACCGGGGAAAGAAGATGAAGGGAAAAAGATGTATTTAAAAGGAAGGTTTGAGTCAAACCAAAAAAAAAAACGTCCTCTTCTTTAATCACTTCATTGTAGCTTCTCTCGTCCTACATAAGGTTGAAAGACTAGACCGGCTAGAAAATACATTGAAATACTGGAAAACAGAAGCACAACACTGAATGCATCACTGCAAAAGTGACAGAATCGATGTGCCATACAGCCTTATAAGATTTCTTCTTCCATTAGTCTCCCATGGGCTTCAAAATACACCATATGGCTGCACAAAGACATAAATGTCACATAACCTCAGCCTCGGCATAATCCAACAAGTCAATTCAACCAAGTACCGCTGTTAAAACAGAGGGCTCCACTGAATTTACATTGCAGTGGCTGAATACTAATTAAGGACAATGGTGATCGTGATACTGATGAGAGCTCAAGATAAACCGAAACTGACGTACAAGTAAAAGACTGAATAGCACGCAGCAAAATCAAATAGTGCTGCAGAGATAATGTCGTCAGGTTAGCGATGCTGTTAGCACGGATTGAAGCATTTTGGGTGAAGTAAAAACAAGATGTTTACCCCTACACATTTTTATTTGAATCCACGCTTAAAAGGATCTTTTCTAAAAACACAGCAGCATCTGCTCAGAGCTGTTGCTACAGTGATTAGCACAGCCTCTGTAGCTCTTAGCCAGACAAGAGAAATAAACAGAGGTACGGTACAGGGAGCATTACAAAGAAGGAGGCAGCATCGCAGATTTGCTGTGACCTGTCAATGTACAACATTGTATGCACAACTGAGTGTCAGCGTCTCATCTTTCAGCCAAGAAACAGCTCCCTAAACAGGAAAGAAAGAGAGTCACTCCTGCCAAGTTCCCATGCAGCACATGCCCTCCTGAAACGTGACACATCTGTTTGGCATCTTTTTACAACATGACATCGACAAACCAAGACTTCGAATAATGTGTTTTGCCAGAAATTCAATCCGGGGTGAATTATTGAACCTTCTTGCATGTTCGGGTCTTGTACTTAATGCAGCAATGTGCTGATACCACAGAAGAGTGGATAGAGAGGGGAAGGTTTGTCGTTCGTACCCGTGGGTGAATTCTGAGAGGGCTTATGTGCATGTGTGCAAATGCGTGATTACGTGTGAGTGTGTGTGTGAGAGCAAAAGAGAGAGCCTACAAAACACATATGAATAAGAGACAGGGTAAAAGATTTTCTTCTTTCTCGAATATTTTAATATTTCATGAATCCTTGTTTGATGTAGTTTTAAATATTCATGCTTTTATGCTTAGGAGGAAGAGGGAAATGATGCAAAAAATCACCGCAATACACTGTGCTAGACACTGTGGGGAACCAACATTCCCTGTGCATATACACAAATAAGCTCAAGTACAAAGCTGAATACGCTCTTTCGCTCTAACAAGCCACTTACAATGAAACATGGACAATTTTCTTCAAGTGACAGCTCTGTTGTTCACAATAAGGCTCACAGTCAGAGCAAGTGAACAGAAAGTTGACAAGATTAAGACTGTGAATTCGGCGCAACACCAGCTGTTGGAGGCTCTTTTTCTATTAGGAGATTAATGTCTCAGCATATGTCCTTGCCCCCTTCTTAGGCTGTACACTCTAACCCCAGAGGTGTCCTCAGTCCCTGGGAACATGTCTGTGTTTCCACTTGTCGAGCTTTCCTCAAGATCTCGGGGTTAAAGAAAAAAAATCTAGTGAAAACATATATACGACTACCAAATGGATCAGAACACCGAGCAACAATTCAATTCAATTCAATTATATTTATATAGCACCAAATCACAACAAAAGTCGCCTCAAGGCGCTTCATAGATACAGAGAAAAACCCAACAATCATATGACCCCCTATGAGCAAGCACTTTGGCGACAGTGGGAAGGAAAAACTCCCTTTTAACAGGAAGAAACCTCCAGCAGAACCAGGCTCAGGGAGGGGCGGGCCATCTGCTGCGACCGGTTGGGGTGAGAGAAGGAAGACAGGATAAAGACATGCTGTGGAAGAGAGACAGAGGTTAATAACAGATATGATTCAATGCAGAGAGGTCTGTTAATACATAGTGAGTGAGAAAGGTGACTGGAAAGGAAAAACTCAATGCATCATGGGAATCCCCCGGCAGCCTACGTCTATTGCAGCATAACTAAGGGAGGATTCAGGGTCACCTGGTCCAGCCCTAACTATATGCTTTAGCAAAAAGGAAAGTTTTAAGCCTAATCTTAAAAGTAGAGATAGTGTCTGTCTCCCGAATCCAAACTGGAAGCTGGTTCCACAGAAGAGGGGCCTGAAAACTGAAGGCTCTGCCTCCCATTCTACTTTTAAATACTCTAGGAACAACAAGTAGGCCTGCAGAGCGAGAGCGAAGTGCTCTAATAGGGTGATATGGTACTACAAGGTCATTAAGATAAGATGGGGCCTGATTATTTAAGACCTTGTATGTGAGGAGCAGGATTTTGAATTCAATTCTGGATTTAACAGGAAGCCAATGAAGGGAAGCCAAAACAGGAGAAATATGCTCTCTCTTTCTAGTCCCTGTCAGGACTCTTGCTGCAGCATTTTGGATTAGCTGAAGGCTTTTCAGTGAGTTTTTTGGACATCCTGATAATAATGAATTACAGTAGTCCAGCCTGGAAGTAATAAATGCATGAACTAGTTTTTCAGCGTCACTCTGAGACAGGATATTTCTAATTTTAGAGATGTTGCGCAAATGGAAGAAAGCAGTCTTACATATTTGTTTAATATGTGCGTTGAAGGACATGTCCTGGTCAAAAATGACTCCAAGGTTCCTCACAGCGTTACTGGAGGCCAAGGTAATGCCATCCAGAGTAAGAATCTGGTTAGATACCATATTTCTAAGATTTTCAGGGCCGAGTACAATAACCTCAGTTTTATCTGAATTAAGAAGCAGAAAGTTAGCGGCCATCCAGGTCTTTATGTCTTTAAGACATTCCTGCAGTTTAACTAATTGGTGTGTGTTATCTGGCTTCATGGACAGATAGAGCTGGGTGTCATCTGCATAGCAGTGAAAATGTATGCTATGTCTTCTAATGATGCTGCCTAAGGGAAGCATGTATAATGTAAACAGAATTGGTCCTAGCACTGAACCCTGTGGAACTCCATAATTAACCTCAGTGTGTGAAGAGGACTCTCCATTTACATGTACAAATTGGAGTCTA